CCGATGTTAATATGATTTTTTAACCGATGTGAAAAGTAGTTTTTCCACTGGTGATGAACCGTTTGATTGGTTAACAAATACTGCATCAAATGTGCACATTTGTGCTGAGAAATTATTTTTTTTGTCTTATCAGACAATTAATGAAAAAGGCGTCGCGATGGGAAACGGGTGTAGATTATTATTATTATTATTATTATTATTATTATTATTATTATTATTATTATTATTATTATTATTATTATTATTATTATTAATTGTTTTTATTTATCTTGGGTAGGTGGACAAGTTAAGGTTTAGGGTTATGAGTCTTATATAAGGGACTCCTTCTAGTTTATGTTCCTTGGTTTTTTATGAATGAAAATATGAATTTATATTGTAAAGTATTCTTGGGATTGCGATCTCATTAATATTGTCACACTCGTACGCTTCCCTACATTAGTTGGTATCAGAAGTAAGCACGATTCAAGGATGCCGCTGCGGAAGGACGACATCGACGGGCGTGACACCACTATTGAGTATTTGGGTCGATGACCACGGGCTCCGGCCGTCAGATCAATCAATTTGAAAGTCGAGTTGAAGATCTTTCGACGAGGATCAAAGAAGTGCGTCTTACGATTAACAACATGGTTGAGGATTTGCAGACGAACTGTGACGCTTTTCCTGGTCGTCAGGATTCATGGCGATTTGGTTGTAGAAAAAGCATCCATGAAACTAAGGAACTTATGGTCTTTCGAGTTGAAGATCTTTCGACAAGGATCAAAGAAGTGCGTCTTACGATTAACAACACGGTTGAGGATTTGCAGACGAACTGTGACGCTGGCAACCAGGGAGTGCGCGGGGGAATTCACGGAAGACGTAGAGGCTGGGTCGAGGCGGTGCGCCCCGCCGAAGATCTCCAGAACCACCATCCGACGAAGAAACGACAAGGAGGAAATCTCGGAGGTGAATCCCATGGGCGATTATCCACCCCCGCACGTAGAGACTGACATTTGCACTGCATACCATGACCTTGACATGAGATGAC